GCCCGAAAAAGACCTGTATTTAAGTGGAAACTTAATCTGAAATCCATTTCGATCATTTCTTTGAGTGCCACCAGAAAAGTAAAAGCTTCTCTGACTATTTAATCACCCATTAGAAACCTGTGAGCATTTAAGAGTGCCATGTTAGAAGGGCCAGGGCATACAGCAGGATGTGTGTTGTAAGGCTATTTAAATTGTATGGTTCCCATCTATCTTTAAACTGGCAGCTAAATGGAAGATTTAGATTTGAGAGTTCCTGGCTCCTGGTTCCCTGTCAGAAATAATTAAACTACATTTTAGGGAGACTGTCGTAAGTAGTTTGCTTGACTAGTGTTTTTCACAGCTGAGGGTCTTCGTTACGACTCTTGGGACCTGGGAATCCAAACCACCTTATACATCCATTATATATGAATTACATTCACGACCTGGAGCTTGCACTCTCTTGCATGTGTGGATGATGGTATGGCTGGGGTCTCAGCTGGCTGGGAGGTGGAACCCCCAAATGTTCCTAGTGCTCCCATTCTGAGTTAGCCTAAGATCTGGTTGGTTTAGATCATGCAGTGCGTGTCCCTGGCCCGCATGTGCAAAACTAGTCCTTGGCAGCATGTTGTCTGAGAAATATTTCAGTTGAGATATAAATGTCCCAGTGGGTTTTCCATCCCCTTTCATAGGAATGACTCTGCCTTTCAGAATGTGCTTTTTTTGTTCCCTCTCTTCATCATTGTTTAATGTCACTCCATTATCCTAGTTTCACACCTTTAAATGACTTCAAGAAGGCTTCTGACTGTCGCTCCAAATAGCTTTTTTTAAACTCCACCACCAGCCTGTATATATCTGACCTACTACCTCTTACCGACAGGACACAAGGCTGGATATCAGGACATCTAGGAGGTCCTCTGCCTGTCACAGAGTTCCCATATACTTCTAGACCCATCACTTTACTCCTTTATGCCTTGTTTACTTTATCTGCAAGGTCCTGCACCTGGGTGGAGGCAAGCCCTGGTATCAATACAGACTGAAGGTTGAAGGGATTGAGAGCAGCCCTGCAGAGAAGCACTTGGGGTGCTGGTGGATGAAAAGCTGGACATGAGCCAGCAATGTGCGACTGCAGCCCAGAAAACCAGCCGTATCCTGGGCTGCATCAAGAGAACTGTGGCCAGCAGGTCAAGGGAGGGGATTCTGCCCCTCTACTCCACTCTTGTGAGAACCTCCTGCAGTGCTGTGTCCAGCTCTGGGGCTCTCAGCACAAGAAAGACATGGACCTGTTGGAGCAGATCCAGAGAAGGTCACAAAACTGGCCAGAGAGGTGGAGCACCTCCCCTGTGAGGACAGGCTGAGAGAGTTGGAGTTGTTCAGCCTGGAGAAGAGAAGGCTCCGGGGAGACCTTTAGAGGCCTTCCAAGTACTTAAAGGGGCTACAGGAAAGGTGGGGACAAACATTTTAGTAGGGCCTGCAGTGATAGGACAAGGGATAATGGTTTTAAACTAAAGGAGGGTAGATTCAGACTAGATATAAGGAAGAACATTTTTACAATGAGGGTGGTGAAACACTAGCACAGGTTGCCCAGAGAGCTGGTAGATGCCTCATCCCTGGAAATATTCAAGGCCAGGTTGAATGGGGTTTTGAGCACCCCGGTCTAGTTGAAGGTGTCCCTGCCCATGGCAGAGGGGTTGAACTAGATGACCTTTAATGGTCCTTTCCAACCCAAACTATTCTACGATTCTGTGATCTGTGAAAACAGAAATAACATCTTAAAATAACTACTAGTACTCAGTCAGACTTATTAGCATTCTCAACCAAAAATAAAATATTAAGTAAATAATAGTAAAGTCCTTAAAATGTTCACATGGACGTTGGAGTCACAAGAGGCTGAGTCCTCCAAGATGCCATTTTTCTTGTCCATCACTGGAGATACTTGTCTCTTTGGAATTTCAGAGCTTCACAGGTGTCAGCAGAGGAGGTATTTGCAGTGCACATCGCTGGCTTGAGGATATCAATGGTATCCCGATTTTAGAGGTGGGACCCTGAAGGTCAAAGCTAGGGAATGGGACATAATGAAGATGTGAAGTAACCGAGCTGGCATTCTCTGGATTGCTTGGTAAAGTGGGAGCAAGAAAAATTATATGTTTGGAAAATTATATGCTATTTAGTATTGAGAGGTGTAGAGTTCAACACGTATGAATAAAGAATGTAAAGCAGTCACCAGAGGAGTGGTTTCAGTCCAACACTAGATTAGCCTTATGGTAAAAGACTGCTGGGAAGCACCAGAGGCTACAACAAAACTTTTCTAGTTTGGGCTTAAATACCATCAGTCTCAGACTTTGTACTTTCTCAAGGCATTTTTTTCTCAGCTTGCTGAAATTTTAGTACCATAAAGCTAGCTTTTATTTTTTATCTACTGTTTCCTTTATCCTCCCCCAGACTTTGTTCATCAGGTCAGCCAAGGAGAGACAATTTTTTTTTTTTTTTTTTTTTTTTTTTTTTTTTTTGGTTTTTAGTGCAGCTTTATTGCTACAGTAGCTAACTTGCAGGTCCTGTGTCTTCACATACCATCCTGACCAGCCCACGCTCCATTGCAGTGCTGTCTGGCAGTTGGGGAAAGGAGTAGAAAACACACACGGCTGCCTCCAGCCCTTTAGCGAGTCGATAATTGCCCATCCCTTATGTTCATAACGGGCACTGTAGTATGATATTACCTCCCTCGCATCTAGGAGCTGTGAAAATCTGTGTCTCGATGCCAGATGCAAAGTAAAAACTTCTGACAGCCACTCAAACGTCCTTCCTCAACCATGTTTTAAGTGTTTGATAGTTTAATTTCTACTGACTTCCAATAAAGCTTACATTAGATTGTTATATTTCGGCAGCAAGTGGCATGTGCACATCCTCGCTTTAACAAGTGGATCCTTTTGCGAGTTTGACTCTAAAAAGGACAGACAAGTTCCTATCTTAAGCACACTTGAACTCCAAAGTTCTTTCTTTAAAGATTTAGATATATAGGACTAAATGTTTGAGAGGATTTGGAGACATCCGAGACACTGCAGCAAAAGGAATTCAACTGGAAACTGTCCCACCACCCTGAGCTGTATAGTAAGCAGGAATTACATATATCGTGTTCATGTCACATTTGGAAAATGAGGTGTTTTCTAGACATGTAAAGCATTGCTGTTATTACTGTCATAGTTACCACTCTCTAAAGAACTCTCTGATCCTTGGAGACAAGAGTCCATTTCAGCATAAGGGGCTGAGGACATTGTAGCTCTCTCCTGAAACGGTACAAAACTTTCCTCCTGGAGTTGAAGTGGATGTTCCAGCCCCGTATCAGGAGCATGTCAGAAGTCCCTGAGCAGCCCAAGCTTCCTGTTCCTGGCAGTATTAATTAGCAGAAGTCTAAAGGCAACTTAAGTGAGGCTGAATTTCAGTCAGGTGTGATGTTAATGCAGGCTGAGTACTTCTGAATATTTTATGTGCAGCCAGTGACCCAGAGTAAATGTCTTTTATAATACTAGTCGCCCAGCCACCACAAGCCTCGAGGCCTGAATCCTGCACTTAATACGTTCAGAGGCACTGGAGACGGGCTGGTGGCTGAGGTATTCCTTCTGAGGTACATAGCTGGGAGAACAGAGAAAGAAGGTGCTCTGCAGAGTCCCCTGGTAACCCTTTCTGGGCTTCCAGTCCAGCCCTGCTCAGCATTTCTTCTGTTCTCATCTCTTCACTCTCCCCAGAGGGAACTGTGTCCCTACCTTGAAAAATCTATAGAACGGCTAAGTCAAGCACAAGGCTTGAGTGTGAAACATTTGGAAAAGTTCGATCCAATCTAGAAGCGCCAGGCAGAAGTCAGAGAGAAGGGAAAAGACCTGACAGTCTGGAATACAGTCTGAATTGCCTCTCTTTTGATTGAGAGTTGCAGTCATGGTTTATGAGAGATGGAAAGGGAGCAGTCAGGTGATGAACCTGAAGAAGTAGAAATAGATTCATTTCATTTCAACTACAGTATGACACCACATCAGTATTCAGTTTTATTTTTTTTCATTGAAACCAGTCCTGTATAGTAATGGTGGTAACAGGCACTTTAACACCTGACTCATGGGTGCCTGCTCTCCACCAAGTCCCAGTTCTTCCAGGCAAATACAGTGTATATGAAAACATGAAGTCTCCCAAATTCATGCCAAGGGCATGCCAGGTTTCAGCCCAAAACCTAGAACTGGGCAAAAATATTAGGCATATCTGAGTCCTCATGCCCACTAGGGCTCACAGAGGGTGGGAAGGCCAGCACCCCTGAAAAGCCAATGTCCTTTAGCTGTTCTTTTTTGGAGGTAAGTACTGAAATATCCAGCCGTGACTGCATGCTTCCATTAACTTTATGAAGACTTTGGGAACAAGCACCATCCTTTTAACTCCAGTGCATGTAGCTCACAAAAAGAGCGTGTTGGTACCTCCAGATGCCTGAGAGGGGATTTTTAACGGGATGGTGGGAGAACAGGACATAGCAGATGTGCAGACTCAGTCGAAACAGAAATATTTTATATTAGTTTTAAAGAGATAAGAGTTTTAATAAATCCCATCCCCAGAACCGTGGCTTAACAAGCCACAGACAGGCTTTGCCAGCACTTAACTGTAGCATCAGTAGTTTATCAGCACATTGTTTCCACACTTAACCAGATTATAATTAAATATGGCTTTTGTTCTGCTTATTGGAAGAGCCTTCCTCTTTGGATCTGGTGATCACAAAAGCTTGAGGAGTGCAAGAAAATTAGAAAGCAAATAGGAGGATCAATCACAGCAGACCTCTGGAATCCATGTCCATCTCTTTTTTGTAATATACTTATTGGATTCTTATTGTCAGGAAGGATTAGCGTTATGAGCTCCAGGAATTCCTTTCATTGCCCCGTTAAGGCGAGGTAGTGAAGTGTGGCTGCTTTTCTTAACAATAACACTCTGGATTTTCCCCCCTCTCCCTTCTCTCCACCTATATCCCCTCCTCTCTCTTCTCTCCTCTCCCACAGAGATTTGTGCAGCAGACTGCGGAGGACATGGCATTTGTGTCGGAGGCACCTGCCGCTGCGAGGAGGGATGGATGGGCACAGCCTGTGATCAGCGAGCGTGTCACCCACGCTGCAATGAGCACGGGACATGCCGGGATGGCAAGTGTGAATGCAGCCCGGGCTGGAACGGAGAGCACTGCACTATTGGTAGGGAGAAAGAAAAAACGACTACTTTTAAAAGAATAATTGATGATCAGGGAGGAGAAAAGGCGCATGCTTAATTGAATATGTGTGACTTAGTGTAGCATGAGCACCTTTGTTCTTGGATTTCAAGTTCTGACATCATACATTTTCATGTGAAACAAGATAAAATGTCCTTTCATTTGCTGATAACATGGCTATATATATTTTTTATTATCAGAGGTGAAGTACACCTATGTGGTGTTTGATCTCAGAGACAAGCCGTCAAATGTCAGCTGCATGCTTTTAAAAACATCCCACTTTGCCTCTCTCAAAAGGTCTGCCTGTGGCCTCCAAGACTTCTCTCTACTATGGTGACAGCATTTTCAGAAACATGCATCTGATTTAAAGTTTTCTTCCCTTTTATTTGCTCTGTTGTTGGCACTGCCACTTCCCTTGCCAGTATAAAAAGGAAACTGCAGTCAGATAACTTCTGGCTGGTGTTTAACTTAGTCTTGCTTATCCCTTGTCTGCTCTGCTACCTTTCTAACCATTTCATTTCCCTCTCTCTTTGGTTCTGTATTCCTCATGCACCTGGCACTTACCTTGAGCTCTCGGTGTCATGTCTATTATTAACAAGATGTCACCAACATGCCGAAATCATGCAAAGAGGCGCAGATCTCACGTTAAGCAATTTTCAGCATCATTAATGAACTGGCTTGGCTTTACCTTCCTCCTTCATCTCACTTGATACATTTTCCATTCTTCCTTTTTTCTGACTGTCATGCATTCAACCACTTTAGTCCCCATTCCGTAGCCATGCATTAAAACTCCCCAGATACCATTTATTATACATTAATGGAAAACTAAATTAGTAAATCCAGTTCTGCTCTCGATAATGCCTGTGTGGACCCGAAAAAATTTGGCTGACTTTAGAAGAGTTGTTCCAGAGTCAAAATTCTCCTCCAGTCATTTTGGTTTAATCACCTTATTTTAAAGACAAGAAAATTTACCTCTATGTTACTTTCATTATGCCATGATACATATAAATCACAAACTAATACTAGCAATACCTGTGAAAATGTCAGCATAGTTATCTGTGTGGATTATCAGCTTAGTTGTGTGTAGACATCACTTTCTTTGCTTGAACACAGGTAAGTTTGCACACAAAAGGCAGACAGGAAACGAAGCCTGATCACAATATTTTAATTTCAGTATTAGGGTAATGGTACAAACCATATATGTGGTGCAATTCTACTTATCATTTATTTGTGCTAATATCACCCTACCACATTATGGTCTCCACATGCATCCCCTAATGAAAAATACCTAGCTCTTAAAACTTCCTCTGTCTCATTAGACATTACATTTTGCATTCTTTTCTATGTCCCTAGAAGCTTTCATTTCTTTTCATGAGGAAGGGATTATAAAACCCCCTCTCTTCAGTGACTTTAAAATTAAAAGAGACCAGTCCTGTGTTAATTGGAATCCTGTGTTTCTATAATATTATTTTATAGCCTTGTGTTCAAGCACTTTGTTTTGGAAAGCAACACAGATTCATGAAAGGGTTTTAAAAGCAAAAAAAAAAAAAAAAAAAAAAAAAAAAAAAAAA